AAGTTGCCCAGGTGGGTCTCGAACCCGCGGGCTCAGGCAATCCACTCGCCTTGGCCTCCCCAAATGCTGGGATTACAGAGTGAGCCACCGAGCCCAGCCCTTAATGCTATCTTAAAGTTTTCTAATCTTAAACCATTATAATATACTTTTATCTTATGGATTCTTATTTTATTTTATTTTTTTGAGTTGGAGTCTCACTCTGTCACCCAGACTGGAGTGCAGCAGCCGTTCCCCGCCACCGCAGCCTCGACCTGCTGGGCTCTGGCGATCCTTCTCCCTCAGCCTTCCAAGTAGCTAGAACTACAGGCATGCACCACCACGCCTGGCTAGTTTTTGCTTAATTGTAGAGATAAGGTCTCGTCAAGTTGCCCAGGTGGATCTCGAACCCACAGGCTCAGGCAATCCACTCACCTCGGTTTCCCAAAGTGCTGGGATTACAAGCTGAGCCACCGAGCCCAGCCGGCATTAGATTGTTATAGAAGCACGAACCCTGTTGTGAACTGCGCATGCGAGAGATCCGGGTTGCCTGCTCCTTATGAGAATCTAATGCCTGATGGTCTGAGGTGGAGCTGAGGTGGTGATGCTAGTGCTGGGAGTGGCTTCAAATACAGATTCACATTAGCAGTGAGGTTTGATTACATACACCCCACCACCACCACCATTCATAGAAAAATTGGTTTCCACAAAACCAGTCCCCGATACCAAAAATTTGGGGGACCACTGTTCTAAGGGGAGCTGGGCCAGAGAGGAGTGCCAAATATTCCCCCACATAGTGAGCCCAGAGCGGTGCCCTGGCCTCCCAGGACCTGTGTGTTCCTGGTCACTGATCCCTGTTCTTCTATTTGTCTGACTTATGGTGAGTGTAGAAGAAAGGCCTCCGCTAACAAGCCAAGGTCCAAAAGGCTTTCAAAGCACTGTGGTCTCTGACTTTTCACCTTCATATTCCACTTAGCAGAGACAATATGCTGGGCACGGTGGCCCACACCTGAAATCTTGGCACTTTGGTTGGCTGAGACGGGAAGATGGCCTAGAAGTTCGAAAACAGCCTGGGCAACATAACGAGACCGCGTCTCTACAAAAATAAAAAAATTAGCCAGGCCTGGTGGCAGGTGCCTGTGGTCCTAACTATTTAGGACGCTGAGGCAGGAGGATTGACTGAGCCCTGGCTCATGCGGTGAGCCATGATCATACCACTGCACTCCAGCCTGGGTGACAGAGTGAGACGCTAACTCAAAGAAAGAAGAAAATGCACGAACACTTGCAAGTTTCTTCCAAATGTGTCGGTTGCTACTTCAAGGCCCTATCTACCAAATGATCATATTTAATTATTACCACTGGTCAAATGGGATTGCTAAAGTTTTTGTCAGTGCCTGAAAACACTTTTGCAAGAGAAGTTATAAAGCAACTATATGAAATAAGACTAAGCAGTTAATTTTCTTTCCCCTACTTTTTCCCTCCCAGGGTTCTCCGAATATATATGATCATGAAATCACCATAGATGCCGATACTTTTTTGCCTGTCGATGAAACCTTGATTCCTACAGGTTGGTGAATTTAAACTTTTTATGCTATGTGGGATCCTGAATTAGATCTCAGAGCCCGAGAAAGGAATTACCAGGGAGACTGGTAAAATCTGAACAAAGTCTGTAATTTAGTGTCTTAGTTTTGATATTTGTACTTATGTTTTTGTAAGATGTTAACATTAGGTAAAGCTGGGTGAAGGGTAGAAATGTACTATTTTTACCACCTTTCTGTGAACCTAAAATTATTCGAAAATTTCAAAGTTAAAAAAACCTGGATAAGATATGACTTTTAAGTTTACTGGCTGGGCCGAGTGCGGTGGCTCATACCTATAATCCCAGCATTTTGGGAGGCTAAAGCAAGAGGATTGCTTGAGCCCAGAAGTTCCAGACCAGCCGAGGCAACATAGAGAGACCTCATCTCTATAATAAATCAAAAAATTAGGCCGAGCCAGGCTCGGTGGCTCAGCCTGTAATCCCGCGCCTTGGGAGGCTGAGGTGAGTGGATTGCCTGAGCCCGCGGGTTTGAGACCCGCCTGGGCAACTTGGTGAGACCTCATCTCTTCAATAAATCAAAAAAATTAGCCGGGTGTGGTAGCGCGTGCCTGTAGTTCCAGCTACTTGGAAGGCTGAGGCAGAAGGATCACAGGAGCCCATCAGGTCGAGACTGCCGTGGCCGGGAGCGGCCACTGCACTCCAGTCTGGGCGACAGAGTGAGACTCCAACTCAAAAAATAAAAAAAAATTACCTGCGTGTGATGGTGCACACCTGTAGTCTCAGCTACTTGGAAGGCGGAGGTGGAAGGATTACCTGAGCCTAGCAGGTCCTGGCTGGGGTGGCCATGAGCGTGCCACTTGCAATCCAGCCTGGGCCACAGTATGAGACTCTGACTCCAAAAAAAACGTTTATTGGCTGGGTGTGATTACACCTGTAATCCCAGCACTTTGGGATGCCATGGCAGGAGGAGGAATGCTTGAGGCCAGGAGTTCAAGACCAACCTGGGCAACACAGCAAGACCCTGTCTTTACCCCCACGTTATACCAGGGGGGTATATATTGGTTGCCCACGTTATACCAGGTAAGGATAGTTGTTTTAGGTTGGCCTCTTTAATGGGTTGAGTTTCTGACTACTGGGTCACCATTTTTACAAGGAACAAGGTAAACACGTGGGCCTTCGGACTAAACAGCACCTCAGTTCACAGCAGGTGTTAGAAACCTCCATATAGCCAGGCTCGGTGGCTCTGTAGCAGGAAAAATAGAGAGATCGTGACACCGAGACTATTATAGGAAGTGGCACTTTATTACGCTGGCTAGCACAGCGGGCCCGAGAATTTAATGCGTCCAACTCGAGCACCCCAGAACAGAGACCTGGGGCCTTATACCTGGGGTTTAGGTAAGGGAGGGAGGTCGTGTTGAGTGATTACATGTTTCCTTTGGAATCTTACAAGGTTGTACTCAGCAAAATCAGATTTTTCACAGAACAAATGGTTTCCCGGAACTGCAGGCTTGTAAACTGTCAACTTCAGAAGGGGGGATTTTGGATAAGTCTGTGAATTAGCCATTCTTTTTGCATATCCATTAAATGGCTAGTCTTGGGGCCATTTGGCCTTTCCCAAACAAAACCTGCCCGGTGCCCTGGTGGGTCTTTCAAGTTGCAACTTGCCTTTCAAAAGGAAATACCTTTAACTGCTATCAACTCGTTTCCTGCCCTGGGCTAGTGATTGCCATGAGGCCAACTGCTGATCCTGAACCAGCTACATGTTTCTGTGTTTATTCACTCAATCATACAAGAAATATATTTGACTATTTGCCGCATCCTGCCACATTCTCCCCTTTGATGCTTGATCTTTTATGGATCGAAAGCATCATTATCCTTAATTTGGTGCTTCAACATTATATGGGCCGCAGTTTTTCGTTTAACAACTGTTTCCACAAACTCAGAAATGGCATTCATAATTATTGGGGCCATGCAAGGGAGGATAAGGCAGGATCCCACCAGTAGGACTATGGATCCAGTAATATACTTAAATCCTTCCAGACCCGAGAACATGTTTTCAAACCAATTGCCGATTTTTATGCTTGGCCATTTTTTCACTGGGACATGGGCAAGCTTTTTAACATTAGTGGCTATATTAGTTATAACTTTACCATTATTATCTATTTGCAAACAACAATCGGAGCTATTAAATTTGCCACATACTACTCCTTCTCCCAGCAGGTAGTCCAAAGCTAAGCGGTTTTGGTAAATTGCTGCACGCATTTGGGCTGCTGCTGAGCAACAAGCTCAAAACCCGTGGCTGTTTGATTCGTTATAATTTCTAAGACAGTTTGTAACCTGATAATGCGATTTAGCATATATATATAGGCGTGCAGCAATTCCGACTCCCATCTTGTGCCCACGTGGCTGGGCCATAAGTGTGTATAATTCTCCGAGGTGGGCATTTGTCATTTTTCCAAACCTGGGTCCCTCCTATATTAGGAACTTGATCGAGGGATCGAGCACCTCGGGTTTTGAGGCCTGCATAAAGAGGAATACCTAGTTCATCCCCCCTTGGGTTAGGCAGAAGGAAAAATCCTGGCTGGATTATTCCCATGTTACATGTGCCTTTTCATAACGCTGGGAGCCGGGCATATGCAACCTTTCCACATATCCAATATCCAAAATAGCCCTTTAGTGCATTGAGAAGATTTAGTTGCATAAGCAAATGCCCAATACCAAACAGGCTTTGTTGGCCACCACGTCTGGTGGGTTGAATTCCAATATAATATTCTTTTGCAAGGAGTCTCTCCTACCCATTGAGTATAAGCAGAACCTGCTCTGCTTAAACAGTCTTCTCCAATTACTTTTGAGGAGAGGATCCACTTCTGGGATTCATTATCTGTTCTAACAGTCAAAGAATGGTTTCATTGGAGGAGTTGGTAAGCATTCAGATTAGTTCCCTTACAAAGCCACTCTTTAGTCATTAGTGCCCCTCC